AAAACAAAACAAAAGTCATGCCTTTCCTTTTGTTCCTAAACTGATAGCAGCAGACAGGCCACGTCTCCCCAGGTGGCCTCCCTCACCCTGACAATGTCAATTAACACCACGTTAAGTTACATCCCATGTCCCATGTCTGTGTCTTCGTGGACATTGTGCTGAGCGGCTGGGAGGGATCCGCAGAGAAGACAGTGTGGCTCAACAGCCAGCACTGGGGATGGGATCTCAAGTGAAGGGCCTGGCACATGGGGAGGCTCAAGGCGTGAGGATGTGACTCGCCTGGGAGCCCGTGCCCAAATGCACAAGCATGTGCATTCCTGTGTGAGGCCCATGTCAGTACGTGTGTGTGTCGTGTGGCCACCACGCGTGGCAGGCATGTGCAGCCTGAGTGTTACGCCAGGCTGGGCCTTCTGTCTCCTCCAGGCCTGGCCCTGCCATGTCAGTAGGGAGCTTGGCCATAGGAGTGCTGAGCACAGGTGTGGCTGTGCCAGGCCTCACTGGCTGGGCTCAGAGGGGACACCATACCTGTGCTGGGTGTGAGTAGCAGAGGGGTCACGGTGCCCTCTGGGAGATGGTCGAGCAGGGGCAGAGTCAGGGGCGTGTCGGGAGATGGGTGTTCAGCTGCGTTCCTTCCCTGTGCAGGGGCTCAGCTAGAACATGGGGTCTTACTCTCCTCACCCCTGACTCCCCAGCATCCTCCTTCTGCCCCCCTCTTCAGCCTGCCGTGGGCCTTGCTCTGGGACCCCTGCGGAGAGGACACGAGGGGCTTCACCCTGTGCTGGGTAGATGCTGAGGTCACAGCTTCACTGTGTGTCTCCTCACAAGGCCACACTGAGGCAGGTCCTTCCTCCAGTCTGACCAGAGTCCTGCTTGCTGCTCTGCAAGTCCCCTTGGGTCATGTGGGTCAGGGACACTTGGCAGGGTGGGCTTTGTGGACTCAAGGGCCACCAGTTCCTCCAGGTCAGCATGCTCAGATGGTTCTGTTCTCCCCCTTCCTTTGGCCAAATGAACCTCTGTATCCTGGGCTGACCACAAATGTCACAAGAGTCACACCAGAGCTGTCACATCCCATCACACCAGGAATGTCACACCATGTCACACCATACTACATCACACCATGTCACACCAGGGATGTCACATCATGTCACACCATACCCCATCACACCATGTCACACCACATCACACCATGTCCAACCATGTCACATCACACCACATCACACCACGTCACACCACGTCACACTGGGGATGTCACACTGGGGATGTCACACCACATCACACCATGCCCCATCATATCGTGCCACATTATAACCTGTCACACCAGGGCCATCACACCACATCACACCATGTCATGTCACATCACAGCACGGACGACTGGAGGTGCGCAGGGGCTGCCTGCAGTGCAGCCTTGCTGGAGAGTTGAGGGAGGGTCCTGGGGCTGGGCGTGGTGTTCCCGTGGGAGGGCCAGCCCTCTGGAGGGTGCTCAGTCCCAGGTGGAAGGGGGGGGGTCCTGGGTGCCTCAGGGAGGGGCCCAATTTCCCCAGGGGAGCCTGGTCCAGGTGCCAGGCCCTGCAGGTGGCAGGAGCTACAGGGAGCGTCTGCTGCTTCCCAACGCAGCCTGCTCAGTGCACGGAATGGCCCGGCACCCAGCACTGGCCTGGGTTTCCTTTCCTTAGCCCAGCCGGGCCATCCATCCCCAGGCAGTGGACTGGAGCCCACCCCACCAGAGCACCTGGAGGGGCCTAGGGCCCCTCGACCTGTGCAGCAGGGTCCCTGAGGCTGCCATGTTCTCTGGACAGAGCTCTCCTGCATCCCCGGGATGCCATTCTTGGGCTTGGGATAGAGCCGGTGGTGCAGCAGCTGCCCACCCCGCACCCTGGGTGCTGTCTCCCTCGCCCCCCCAGCGGCTGCAGCAGCGAGTCCTGACAGTCAAAGGGCTGGGCTTCAGCACCCAGTTCAGGCCAGGCCCCTGGAGCCCACCCTCCAGTGGTGAACTCTCCCACGGCGCGGCTGGGCCTGCAGTCTGGGGATTTCACCCCCAGCTCTGTCTGGTGCAGCTCCGCTCCTGCCACTTGATGCCACGCAAACGAATGTAACCACCCCCTTTCCCGGTGTGATGGTCTCTCTCCTGCCACAGGAGACTCCGGGGCCACTTTCTAGCCCAGCCACCATGGCCACCGCAGTAATAAGACCCTCTCCTTGGCTGAGGTCCAGCCAGGCTCCTTGGAGCCTGTCCACTCGGCCTCAGACTTGGCTTGGAAAGACTTGAGCGGTTGCTGACAGTTTCCAACAGCTTCAGGCCGCACTCCTAGGCCGACCCCTGCCCCCCCAACACCTGCCCGAGGAAGCTCCGCGCACCAGAGCCAGCCGTCTGCTCCATCCCTGACCTCCCTTTCTCAGGGCGTCTGCTGAAAGGGCTGCAGCCACACGTCCTTCTGTCCATTCCCGATGTCTGCGCATCTCCTGTGGCCAGGAGGGTCTTCCTCGGGACCTGAGAGCCGCTCCCTTGAAGTGTCCTCAGCGGGAAGGAGGGGCTGGTTCTCCAGGCTCTGGAGGACAGAATCCTGACCTCAACAGTGGCCAGCACGGACACAGCGGGCCCATCCCAGGGATGCCGACCAGCGCCGGGCAACTTCTCCCTTCCCCGACGACTGAGCCCCGAGCGCCCTCCCTGCTCCCGCTGCCACCTCCCTTTACCAGGCTGTCGCCTCTGCACAGGTGAAGGTGAGTTCAGCTCACGCTAGACTCTCTTCTGTTGCAGTAGTTATTTCTGTTGAAAGTCTGTCCTTGCTACGTGACCTAGTGCCTAGCTTTGTGTTTGAAAATCCCTCTCTACCTCTGCCTTCCCGCCTGGTCCTTGCTCCTGGCACCCACCATGTCTCTTATGGGTTGCGTTTTACCCCAGAATGAAACACACACACTGGGGTTCACCTGTACCTGATTCACACACTAGGTCTCAGTGTATCTAAGGTGATATTTTGATGAGATTTTAGGCTTAGAATTGATGGTGAAATGGGCTCATACTTGGGGGATGCTGAGATAGGACGAATGTATTTTACATGTGAGAAGAAAATGAATTTTGGGGCCAGAGCATGGAGTGTTGAGTTAAACTGTGGCCCCTGTGAATTCATGTATTGGAGTCGTGATCCCGGTCTCACAGTGTGACTCTGTTTGGAGATGGGGTTTTTACAGAGGTAATTAAGTTCAAGTGCGGTCACTAATCCAATCTGATGTGTGTCCTTCTAAGAAGAGAAGCTTGGGACATGGGACCCAGGGGATGGCCATGTGAGGGCCCAGGGAGGAGGCGGGTCTGCAGGCCAAGGAGAGAGGACTCGGGAGGAAGCTGCCTGCCCACACCGCCATGCTAGACTCCTGGTCTCTAGGACTGGGAGGATCCACGTCTGCTGTGTGAGCCGTCCATGGTGGCCCTGAGCTCACACAGATTCACACACACTTCTTGCTTTGGACCATGGTTCGTGTTCGCAGGGCCTCCATGTGGCTCTGCCTGGCCAGCCTGAGCCAGCTACCAGGCCTCCACCCAGCTTGCCCTGGAGGCCCTGCCCACCGCAGAGTGACCAGGGCAGGCAGCACCATGCCCAGCGGGAAGAGAAACTGCATCCGTGCAGGAAAGAGGAGAAGCCCCGGGGTCCATGTAGTGGCACAGCCTAGGGAGAGCTGCATGGGCATGAGTGTGGCTATGGGAGGCATGAGTGTGGCTGTGGGAGGTGTGAGTGTGGCTGTGGGAGGCATGAGTGTGGCTGTGGGAAGTGTGAGTGTGGCTGGGGGAGGCATGAGTGTGGCTGTGGGAGGTGCGAGTGTGGCTGGGGGAGGCATGAGTGTGGCTGTGGGAGGTGTGAGTGTGGCTGGGGGAGGCATGAGTGTGGCTGTGGGAGGTGCGAGTGTGGCTGGGGGAGGTGTGAGTGTGGCTGTGGGAGGCGTGAGTGTGGCTGTGGGAGGTGTGAGTGTGGCTGGGGAGGTGTGAGTGTGGCTGTGGGAGGTGTGAGTGTGGCTGGGGGAGG